CACTGTCCTGGGGGGCGCCCTGCGGCCAAGCCGCTCCCCGGACAGAGGCGCTCCCCGCCCCTCTGGCCTCGCACGTTTGCACCCTGCCTCCCTTCCTGCGGGTGGGTCAGTCCGTCTGTCTCTCGGCGTCTCCAGGGCGGCTGCCTCGTGTTTCCATGGGCGCTGCGTGCATCGTGGCTGTGGCTGGTGTCTCTGCCGTGTCTGTTCTCCGTGTCCAATGACAGAGCGGGTAAAGAGTTGTCTCTTTGCCCAGGCCGCCTACCTGAGTGGTGCAGGAGAGCACTTACCAGTACACTGAAGAGCCCGCCTCAGTGTACCCCACTGGCGAACGGGCTCTATGGGTAAACCCAGAAGCTAGGTCAAGATGGTTGGGTCTGCGCGCCCTCCTGGCTCCCTGCCGGCTGGAGGGGCCACGATACTGAGCAAGAAAGTGTCGGTCGAACGCCGCAGCCTCCACTGCTGGTGAGAATAACAGCCACGGAACACGCAGGGAGCACAGTGGAAAGATGCCTGGCCTCAGGGGGCCCTTGGAAAACAGGATTCTAGTCCCAGCTCTGCATCCAACTTGCCAAACTACCTGGAGCCGGTATTTCCTGCCCGCTCTGGGCCTTGGTTTCCTGGGTGATGGGGGAGCTCCTGCTTCTTCCGATGGGCCATGTTTTTTGTCTTCTCCTGCCCTCACTGCCGCTGAGCAAGGCGGTCCCCTGCCCCCTGCAAAGACGGGGCAAGGGGAGCCAGTGGGGTTCAGTCACAGGGAAGGGAGGGCCTCCCCAGGGGCTGTCTCAGACGGCCTGGCACACATCCAGGGGCAGAGCGTGATGCAGCCTGCGCCCAGGGACTGGCTTCCCCAGCTGCCTCGAGGAACTTGTGTGTTACAGTTATTAATAAGCTGGAAGCCGCCCGTGGCCTTGGGCTTGATAAATAGATAAACCAAGTGAAGCTCGGTGGAAACCAAACACTCCTGCAGGGAGTCTGGGGGTTTTGGCCCGCTCTCTGGCCCAGGCGGCCCTGAGGCTGCACACCGAGGCTGGCCGGTTTGCAAACAGGCATGCTGCAAATGAGCATCAGGTGAGTTTGAAGACGGATCATTCAGGTAGGAAGCCACCTCCCGGCTTACACTTCCAACCCCTGAATCTAACCTATTACAGCCAGCTGCATGGGGCTGCTGATCATTTGAAGCAGAACTATTTCTCTCTTTCTGTTCCTCCAAGTGCAAAAATTCACCCGGGACGGCCCAGGGTGGTAAAAATAAGAGAAGCTTCGAAGCGGGTAGTCCCATCCCATCTTATGTGGAGACTCATCCCAAAGTCCGGACCCTTCCTCTCCTCCACCAGGCTCCTACTCTCGCCCTTAAAGACCCCTGAGAGTATGCTCCCAGGCACATACCTTCCACATGCAGGGACGGCCTAGAATCTGACCACTCATCCGCTCCCATTGCTTCTGTCCACCGCCCCCTCCCCCGCCCCTGCCCACAGGCTGGGACGCCTGCTGCCCCATCACGGCAGCCTGCATGTTCTACCTTCAAGTCCACTCGTCATTGTTCATTGTGTTCCCCGTGGAGACTGCCCTTAGTCTGGAGTCCCGCCCTCCCTGCCTCACCTTTGGCCTGTGTCCCCTCTTCCCGCCCGAGCTCTGGCCGTGCTCATTCTGCAAGTCCTGCTCTCTGCAGACATCCCTGGGCTTTGTTCCTGCCTCCGTCCTGGATGTCCATCTTCCCCTTATGTGTCTGGCTAACTCCTTCAGGGTTCTCTTACCTGTCCCTTCCACCTTTTCCGGCTTTTCTGAGCTCGCTGAACTAGCTCTTCATCCATTTCCCTGAAGTTTCCAGGGGGCAGAAGCTAACGAAAAGGCCACTGCTGCCCCCTCGAGTGTCGATGTCATCAGTGACCATGATTCCCCTGTAGCAACGATATTTTCCATCAGAGACGTGTGATGTTCTCCCCTCCCCAAACCCACCCGCAGGTGGAGTCCACTAGTTTCCATGAGCTCGGACCACTTCCTAAAGCCCTGTGACCCTCTAGGACCCCGGGGACCACAGTCCCCCTGCTCGTGAGCTGGACGTGGCTACTTAGGGCTTGGAGGTGAAATGAAAGAGACTGATTGGGAAACAAGCATCCACGGAGCATTTTTCTCTTAAGAAGCCCAGCGTCCCTCCAGGTTTGGGTTTTAGATGCTGAGGCTGGTGTGTGAGAAACCAGTTCACACACCATCCTCCTGGCTCCCCCGCTAACCTCAGACTTGGCCGTGGGGAAGGCTGTCTTGGATGGCCACCAGGTGCTCCTATGTGAGGGAGGTAATAGACACTGAGCAGCCCCTTTGAACCCAGTGTGGGGTTATGTTGGCACGTGTTATTTCATTTAGTCTCCCAGATAACCCCCCAAGGTAGGTAACAGAGGTGCACACAGGTAAAAGTGACTCCATAGCCATCGCCCCGTTCCAAGCTGCCATTCTCTCTCACCCGCCATCCCAGTATCTTTCCAACGACTGGGCCCCTTGCCCAGCGATGTCTGCAGGGCCCTCCTCTCCTCTTCCATGCTCGTTTCTCAAATGCCATCCGGCCACAGTGGTGATTTCTGTACCCACAGCGAAGGGTCGGCAGCCCCTGGCAGGTGGCTCACCTTTGCCAGCACAAGCCCAAAGCCAAA